TCGTCTCCTCGTACCCGTAAACCCCCTAAAACCTAACGTACACTAGTACGACTAGTACTTCTTACTTACCCTTCGTCTCTCTCTTCTAACTACCACTAACTACCTCTCTCTCCCTCCTCGTAGTCTCTCTCGACTACTCTATCTCTCCTCTCTCTCTCTCTCTCTCTCTCTCCTGCTCACCATGCTCAACCCTTATGCCCCAGAGTTCATCTCCCGCTTCCACCATTACCGACCCTTTCCACCCATACCCCATACCTGTGACTTCTCGCTCTTTACAAACACAAACTACAACTCTCTCCCCCCTTCCCATGTCTCATTCTCTCCAAATTTTTATCATTCCAGTTGCTCACTTGTTCAAAACCAACCCTCATCTCACTACACAGGCTGCTTCTTCAATGCCTTACCTCCTCTTCTTCCTCATCCTCATCCACCTCATCCTTTGCCTCCATTAATGGAGACCCCGGGGGCCAGAGCTGCTGTTATGGAGATCCCCAATGAGAGGGTAGAGAATAAAGAAACCTTTGATAAATCTCAAGGAGAGAGGTTCATTTGTTGGAGACCAAAGGCTAGGTATGGGGAGAAGTCTAGAAATAGGCATGATAAGTTTAGAGAAAGGTCTGATAACGATTTGAATCCGTTCAAAATCAAGGAAATTGATGGGCAGCACAGCACGGTTATGATAAAAAACATACCCAACAAATGCAGGTTCGCAGGTCTATCTTTATTACGTTACATATTAAAAAAAAAATCATCTTTATTTTTGTGTTTCAAAGATTATGTTTCTATCTATCCTTATTACATTACATATGAAAAAAATAGAAAAAAAATTATCTTTATTTTTGTGTTTCAAATATTATGTTTCTAGATATAAACCTTTTTTTCTTTTTCTTTTTTTTTCCTTTGTTTTTTTCCTTTTTTTTTTTTGTGGCTTTATCTATTTGCTGAAAGGGAGGCGTTTACCCTTTTTGTTTTTTGTGTTTTTGGTTTATATTTGGTTTAGTTGGAGAAGGTTGTTGGATTTTCTTGATGAACACTGCATTCAAGAGAATGAGAAGATTAAGAAAGTGGGGAGCAACGCTCAAGAGATGTTCTCTGAATACGACTTCTTGTATCTACCCATGGATTTCAAGTGAGTCTTAGCCTTTTATAATTAACATTTCTCTGTTTCATATCCATTGATGTGGTTCTTGGCTCTCCCTTGATATTTTATTGGAAAATTGCTTCATGCGGGCTGAACTGCGTGACTACATATGCGGTCCAAAAAGTGTAAAGCATCCATCTAAAAGATGGACGCAGGTAGGTGTTCCATCTAAAAACAATAGGAACTAATGGTCCAAATGTTTTCTTACTAGAATTATTATTTATGGTTTTTAAATTTCAAATATTTTTTCATATTCATGATCTCCATGTTAGAGATTACATCTCTGCTTAAAAACTAAGTCCAAAAATCCATCTCAAAAATAGATTTATTAATAGGCCCGCATCTTTACATATGAGGGCTTGCCCCATGTCCGTCCCCATGCATTGTTTTCCATGTCCATTGCCTAGCACTTGATTATAAGTTTTTTGTGGGCACGCAGGAACAAGTGCAACTTGGGGTACGCATTTGTAAATTTTACAAGTGCAATGGGGGCTTGGAAGCTTTACAACAAGTTAAATGGATATCAATGGAAGGTTTACTCCTCTAAGAAGATTTGTGAGGTCACTTATGCAAGAATTCAGGTCATAAGCACCCTTTTTCTTTTACCATACCATATTGAATCTCACACCAACTTATTGTTGGTTATTTTCATATGGTCTCTCTCATGTTTGATTTTTTGTTTCTTAGGGAAATTTATCAAAGTGTACCGAAAAGATGAATTACTTATAATTTTATTCATTTCATTTAATTTAGTTTTGAAAGTCCCATGAAAACTCACATGAATGGTTGAAATGCTAAGTAGTTGAGAGATTAGTGTATTATGATAATTTCCCATATTATGTACATTTTGCTGCATGTTTTATTTTTTTCATTTTTAAGGGAATTTATCAAAATGCATTATTTAACATTTTACTCATTTCTTTTAATTTAGTTTTGAAAACCCCATCAAAACACTTGAAGTGCTGAGCAGTTGACAAATTAATGTATTTTGATATATTTCCCTTGTTCTTATGTACATTTTGCTTATTGTTGTATTTTTCCATTGTTAGGGGAATTTATCAAAATGCACTGAATTATTGAACATTTTACTCATTCCTAGTTTTAAAAATCCCATGAAAACCCTTGAAATGCTTAGTACTTGACAAATTAATGTATTATGATAAACTTCCCTTAATCTTGTGAACAGTTTGATATTGTTCACATGGGAGTTGTGTTATATTATCAGGGAAAGCAAGCCTTAGTGAAGCATTTTTGTGGCAGCACCTTTATGTGCAATTGTGATGATTATCTGCCCCATCTATTCTCTCCACCTCGCAATGGTTCAGCCCTCTCCGAATCTATCACAGTGGGACGGCGACTGCACCGATTTCATCCCTAAACCTCCCTCTCTCTCTCTCTGTATTTTTCTCTCTTTGTTTGCATCTCTCTCTCTCTATATTTTCCTTGGTTGTTTGCATGAGTTGCCTCTCACTAATTAGAGCTTTTGGAACATTGTATATGTTAATGTACATCGGTGTTTTTTGTTTTTTTTTTGGTGAATCAGTGGGGATATCGGCCCCTGCCCGAAAGGAATGATTACATGGTAGAACATACAATTTACTTGCATGGTGGTAGTGGTATAACGTTCGTTATCAGGATTTTGTATGCGTAAACCGTATCCGTGTGATATATTTTCCAAAGCTACGTTGGGGAAAAATGTTGGCCTCATTTAGAAATACTTGCTCCCAAGATCTTATTGCACAGTTTTTTCTTAAAAAGGAAAAACAAAGCAGCTGACCAATATCAATTTTTGGCGGAGTTTGCTTTGTGAAATTTGTTGTTTGTTTCAGATCTTTTCGAGTCTATTGTGAGCATTTGTATATTATGATGTATATTATTGAGAAGTTTTGGAGAGTTTGATTCACTGGGGCGTGTTGATAACTGGAAGCCACGGCTTGCAGTACTGCAACATTTCCATTGGGTTTCTTAATTGGGAACTTCTGTGAGAAGCCATTGGAGGCCAAAAGAACAAAAAATGCGATGAATTTTGTAAGTTGCGAAGCCCTCAATTCGATTATGTCAACCTTGAGATTCATAGACATGAAAAAAGGGATTTTTTGTCTTAAAAATAGTTCTGTCTTTTAACATATTATTTGGACCATACATTTTTAAGATTTGTAAGATTTGTAAGCGTTTAATCGTCACCAGTTTTGGAACTTTAAATTTCATTGTTGGGGACAATATTTGATTTTTTATATATCTTAAGGCTTGTTGGGGACAATATTTGATTTTTTATGTATCTTAAGGCTTTGCGACGCTGAAATTGTAGTTTTCGTGTGAAATTGCAGTTTTGGTGGAGTGTTGGTTTTTTTGGGTAATTCGGTGAGGATTGTATTGTATTGTTTTGTTTTGTTTTGATTTTTACTGTTTTTGTTTTTTGTTTTTGGATCGATAATTGCTTTTTAATGAGTTAGGTGATTATCGATCATGACTCCAACCCATTTTCGTGATATTACCTTACACGAACCTCACCCATATTAATCTATATCAACCTATTATTTTTGTCCGATCATTTGGTAATAAATCTGGAGTTATTATTCTAGAATAACACTCACATTTATCTTCCCTTTAGCAGCCCCACTAAAGATGCATACAATCATATATGACCCAAAACAAATGTGCAGTTATTAATTTTTGGGCAGCGTCTTTAATTGACAATGGCACCATTGGCATTGTATTACCTGAGAAAATAAATCTTGAGTTGTTATTCTAGAATAAAACTCACACTTATCTTCCCTTTAGCAGCCCCACTAAAGGTGCATGCAATCATATATGGCCCAAAACAAATGTGTATTTATTAATTTTTGGGCACTGTCTTTAATTGACAATGGCACCATTGGCATTATATTACCTGAGAACGCCCGTCTCGAAAACCTTGATTAAAGTTGCATTTTTTTTTTTTTTTTATCTTTTTTTTTTTGGAAAGACATCCAAGAATTTTATTAATCACAAAAGGGAGTTTACATCATCGGAAATACAAAGAGGCAAGAAACACCACCTTTCGCTAAGGCACCAGTGATACTGCTAGCCTCGAGGTAAACACAAGTGAAAGAAATTGAAATAGAAGAAGAAATGTTCAAGATCTTCAGTCAAGAGAACGGAAGCTCCCATGGAATTAGGTGCTCTTTTTGACACCAACATATCACATTCAAAGAATCACCTTCAACCAAACATATAGATCTTAAATTCCTCAGTGAAAATCTCCAAACCTTCAAGCAAAGTATGCAGCTTTGCTGGATTAGCCGTAGCCACACCAATAGGGCTTGGCTTGTATAAGACAGAAGGGTATTACTACAAGAATTTTGGAATACCCCTCCAATTCCAGTTGGGCTTGAGTTTTCAAGTGAACTTCCATTAAAATTCAGCTTAATATAACCCATGTCGGCTTCACCTATAATAATTTTGGCTTATATCTATGCATACCAAGGAAAACAAATTAAGGAGATTCACCATTATATCCATTTTCGAAATCCATTTTTGAGATACCACAACCTTCTTTAGACATCCAAAGGCTTGACCAAATAGACAATTTGATCATATGAATAACTTTATCTATAGGTAGTACAATCTTTCAAAAGTCCTCTTGTTCCTTTCCTCCCACACTGCCCAAAGGATCGTGCCTACAACGATTTTCGAATATTCTTGCCAACTTTAGGCAAAATGAGGGAGAAAATTGATGGACGACATCCAGCACATTTTGAAGTAAAGGAAATGACACACTAATCATGTTCATTAACCAATTCCAAAGTATAGAAACAAAAGGGGCATTGAAGCAACAGATGGTTAACCAACTCCTCATCTTGCTTACAAAATAAACAAATATTCAACATAATTTTACCTCTTTTGAGCCGGTTAAATTTTATTTTGCATTGCCAAGCATACAAAGATTTGTATTTTGTAAAGATTTGTATTTTGTAGGGAATTGGCCATTTTCAAATTTGGACAATAAAAAGAGATGACCATCTCCATCGGTCATAGAATAACAAATTATAACAAGATTTAACTAAAAATAAGCCATCGTTTTCGATTTCCCAAACAAGAATATCCTTTGCATCTTGTGCAACATATACTTTCTCTAACAGTTCCATCATAGCACACCATTGTGCTTGTACCACATCACTTAGCCTCGGGTTTACTCCAAGTACACCATAGCACACCATTGTGCTTGTACCACATCACTTAGCCTCAAGAGTACTCCAAGTACACCGATCTCTTCTCTCAACTGCATCACAAAACAATATATTTTGGATTGAAGCCAACCGAAACATTCCAGGGAAAGCTAGCTTCAATGTGTAATCCCTTAACTATTTATGATGCCAAAATAAAGTCTGCCTATCACTACCAAAGTTCTAGCTGAAGTAGCTCGATATCATAAGCCTGCAATTATAAATAGCTCTCCAAATGTACGAAATATCCTTGCCTCTACCACCACCAATCAAGACATCATAACTTTCCATCCCATACTTGACAATCAGGACTGGGCACCACAAATGATCCTTCCACAAATGATCTTTCAAATGGATACTTCTCCACCACCACTTACACAACAATGCAAAATTAAAATATCTCAAACTTCGTATACCCAAACCTCCTTCCCACTTAGGTATACACACTCTGTCCCGTCTAAGCAGGTGGTATTTCTTATTATTATCATGCGAACCCTACAAAAAGTCCCTCATCAATTTCTCGATCCTTTTAGCAACCAAGGCTGGCATCTGAATCACTGACATCTGATAAACAAGAAGATTGGCTAAGCATGATATTAAAAAAGTGACTTTATCTCCTGATGATTTCCAAATATCAAGTTTAACTTGTACCCTTTCAATAATCCTATCCCAAACTACAATAGGAAATTTTGAGATTGGCAAACCCAAGTGGGTAATGGGAAAGGATTCTACTTTACAGCCCAACACTAAGGCCAAAATTTGAATTCTCATCCCTATACAATTAATCCCCATCAAAGAAGACTTATGAAAATTCACCTTAATTCCCATAACAACCTCACATATTTCTAAAAATGTTGCAATATTTCCAAGTTGTGTTTCATCTGCATCATAAAAAATAGTAGTATCATTAGCATATTGAAAATGCGAAACGACAATATTAGAGTTTGCAATTTGGAATCCCATAAACTTTCCCAAAAATTCGACCCTGAATAGAATAAGGCTGAAGCACTCAGCATAGATGGTAAATAAAACGGGAGAGAGAGGGTCACCATGGCAAAGCCCTCTAAAAGCATTAAAGAGACCACTTGGGCTGCCTTTAAAAATAACATTTATTGGGTGGCATGCCAAGCATTCACCAGGCTACCAAATAAAATTAAAATCTACTCTAATTACAATTGGAAATGAAAAGGACTAAACCACATTAGACATGTCCTCAATAAAAGTAGGTTTTAAGGAAGAAACAAAAGGGCCATATACATTCATAAATCCCCAAAAATAGCCTTAATTAGGACCTACAAAGCCCAAAAAGCAAAATACGATCTTTAACAACCCACGTAAAGTTAGTAAGCACCAAAGGATCCCAAAAAATTCAGACACCACCAGAGTTTCCCACAGCATCAATATCACAAAAAAAAAAAATCCCTTGAGCCCCAAACTTCCCTAGCCATTGAAAGAGACGGGCTAAGAAGTTTGGTCTCTTGCAACCCTAAAATTATAAGTTTGTACTTCGAAACTAAAAATAAGACATTCTTTTTACACCTAGCATCACCCGTGCCCCTAACAATCCAAGACAAAATATTCATTAAAACAAATGAGGAGAGGTTGAAGAACCTGATCCAGACTGTCCGACCCCATCTTGAGCTACAGTCAAGTCCATGGACTCCCAATCTTCATCTTCAGTTGAGGAGGAGGAGGAGGAGCCAACATCCATCAATTCAGGTTCACGAAAAGAAACACCCGCATTCAGATAGCCTCTTTGAGGGATGCCCCGAGCCTCCAGCCTGGCCGATGACCGGAAACCTCGACGGAAGATCTTCTTTCCCTTAGCCTTCACTGAAGCCTTTCCAACCGGGGTACAAACCACATCATTAACTGGGTTCACCACATCTGCATTCCGAGGCACCTTCTCCTTTATCACCTCCTTAACTTTCATGCGCTTGCGAATCTCAGTCATCACCATTGCAAGAGGCAACGTCTCCAAACCCATGTCACAGAGCAATTTTTGAAACTTAGGTGAAACATCAGAAAGAGCATTACCTGGTAAAGCCAAAGCATCAGGGGCGGGGGTGGAGCGTCCATCACAAGTACAAGTTTGTGTACCATTACCAAAGGCAAAGCTGGCCCAGGTGTAGCATCCACCACCAGTATAGGTTCATGAACCCCCAACAAAGAGTGGTCCACAGGGGTTTCAGTCACACTACCCGACTGTTGAGCATCCAGAGAAACATCGGCTGACTGGGGGCCCTCCAATAACAATCGTGACTCATCTGGATCCACCACCACAATGGCCAGTGGATCAATAAGCAGGGGGTCAAAATGGCTACGACTTGCCTTGGGGAAGGTCTTGGCCGCTGCAGTCCAGTAAGGCAAACGACGCATCTTGTGAAAGAGTATGGCACAGACAATGACGATGCACCATGCTTGACCCAGTCCTTTTTAGGCATCAAGAATAGAACAAGCGCAGCAGCCGAAGACGAAGACGAAGACGAAGACGAAGGATAGAGGAGATGCTTGCGGGCAGGAGGTTTTTCAGGGACAGAGGGAGCTTCTCTATCCAAGGAAACGTTACGCCACCTGTACGGCATGAAGGTTCCGACCAATGAGCTGATGGCAATTCATACCTTCCCCCCTGCACGCAATTTTACCGCCGCCTTTGCCGAAACTTTTGCGTTAAGAAAAGAAGATGGGCTCGCAGTTGTCATGAAGCGACCACTCTGTGCCAAAAGAATATCATCTAGAATCCAATCCTTAGGCACGTCTTCTGATACCTTCTTTACAAATATATTGGGCTGCAGTTGCTAAATCCTTGTTGAGGCCTACTTTAACGCCTGACTTCAATTACGGGGGTTAAGAATAAAAACAGAAGTCCCTATGTATATTCCGGAAACCTTCCCATAGGAATCCATTTTTTTTAAAATCTGGGAGCAAGTTTTTTTTGAATTTTGAAGCCCTTAATTTCTCGCTGCAAACCATAACGGTGATTGACCCTTTCCGGGTGAAACCTTGCTATGGCAACCGTCCTTCCATTGCACCTTCTCTCTTTGCCGTAGACTCACAAAGAACCTGAATAATAAAAGAATCCTCGCCAACATTGAGGCAAAAATGGTCCGGTAGTGCCCGGCTTTTGGCTTTGGAGATTTTAAAAAAGAATCCCAATCCAGGTCTTGATGGCAACCCAGAATGCTCACAATTCTTTTAATTATTTCTAAGTTCCACGATGCAAAGGGATGCCACTAAGATGTATCCACATAATATCTTTTTGAGCAAAAGAACTATGATCACTCAGTTTCGAGACATCCAAACAGATGAGGCTTCCACGAATTCTACAGAAGCGATGTTTGAGCGCTCTAATGACTTCCTCCTCGGATGTCAGTTTAAACACCACTTTATTCACTCCCATGACCCTTTACATCAAGACCATATGAAAGATTTCATCCCCTCTTAGTCCAGTCAGATCAACCAAAAAAATCAAATACAAGAGGAGAAAAAAATCGGGTCACAAATCTTCCACTTAACTTTCTACCCACCAAAGATCCCCAACATACCTGTACCAGCAACCATTTATTGCTTTTCCTTTCACAATTTTTAAGTGATTCTAGTTTGCCAGGTTCATTTATATTACGATATATTTGTTTTACTTATTTTCATTATGGGCATATAAGATGTGAGTGGATTATAGCCTCTTACACATCAGGTAGTTGCTTTTTCTTGGTATTTGATATGCAGAAATTGTTTTAGTTATATATTTTGGTTTGGTGAAAAGATTTCATGCTCCTATGCGAGCATAATAACCATTTGCTCCCTCACGCAAAACTCCAGCTCAGAATTTTTTTATCTCGAACTTTCGAGTTGTAATCTCTAGATCCCAATGAGTGACTTCAAATAATAAATAAATAAAAACTTTAAACTCGCACTTTTTGTGCCTAAAATGAAATGCGACCCTAAGACTGAAGAGGAACCCTTAAAATTTGGAAGGAAAGATCTTGACCTTTAAGAACTCTAAATCCAATTTCTTTTTCTTCAAAGTAATCTAGTGATGTTTACATAGATTCCAAAATTTTGGATAAATAATCTTCTCAAGTGGCTGTTTTCCCCGACGGTGGTGTTGTGCAGTATGCTCTCTTAAGACCATGCCATATTGGTCAGTTTGTTAACAGCCACTGAATAGCCGAAAGGCAATTAAAGAAAAGCTTCTGAGCAGTTTTCTAAAATAAATGAAAGAATGTGAAAAGTGATTTTTGTTTCTTACCAAATAATGCTTTGAAACTATCTTGGAAAAATAATTTGTGAGCCCTTAAAATGCTTTCCTGTCCCAGGAATATTGATTACATATCTGGTGACCACATCTAAGGTTTTTAGTTCAAAATTCCCTTTTTTTTCTTTCTTTTTTAATTAGTAATGAGGTCAATCAATAATTATTTAAAAATTTTATAATGCAGAATATCTCCCTCAATATATGCTTTGGCAGTATGTCCTAACCGTACTGAAACAACTTGAGGAACCTTCTCAAAATCCATCTTTTTGATGGATTGAGGATCCAAAAACCCCTATGAATTTATTTAAGCTATAAAAAAAAATGGACTTGGAGCTCCTATGATGATATTTATGGGATTTAAAAATTATTATTTTTCATATCCATACATCTTGATATCAAAATGATCAATTAGAGAGTTTTTTAACATCAAAACAATCTTTTCATATGGATTTTTTATGTACGGGTTTTGTTAGGCTACACCTGGTGTTGACCCTTAAAGTGCTCAACATTTTTAGACATTTAGATACCCTTATCCTATAGTATTGTAACTTTTTATTTAGAGGAATTTTAAGTAATTAGCCAATGGTAAACTATAAATTCCTAATAAAAATAAAAACATTTATTAACAATAATGGATAATGACATTACTGATATGGTGTGTCACATCACCCACAACGTGCATTAATTGCTTCTAACTACTAATAAAATGGCACTATTTTTTTTAAAAAAAATATACATTCTACCATTCTAAATGAGCAAAAATGCCTTTACTTGAAAAATTTTGCATTGCAATTCAACAGTATTTTAGTGTCAAAAAATGTTGAACACTAACAAAACCCTTTATATACGCCTTAATTCTATAATTTAAGGTTGCAACCTTATATAATTTTTTTCTATAGAAAAATGTTGCTATACATCCTAGGTCCTAAATTACTAAAACAATGCAAGAAACCCTAAAACTTATTTAAAGCTTCACCCAAGTCAAAATTTGCCCCAACGACCTAACGATCCGAAACATAAACCATCTAAGAAGGAACTGAATGAGCTTGGGAATGATCCATGAAGAGGAGTAAGAAGATGGTAGCAATAAACATGCAAAAAATTAGAAATGTGCAACAAGCAGAGCAAAGAATACATTTGAGGGGCTGATGGGAGATGCATCAAGAAGTATATGAGGATGTATAGTGGAAGATGCATGAGACCAAAGATTGTTTTGCAACTTTTTGACTCTTCAACGACACTTACATACACCCCTTTTAAGTCCGACCAATTTATTATTATTAGATGGTATTAGAAAATAAAACTTTTCGTCCAAAAAAGATCTTCCCTTTGAGGCTCAAGGGATAAAAAAATATTCTTTTCCAGTTCGGTTAGATCAAAAAAACTTTTCGAGCTATTTGAAACAATTCTTCGATTCTTCAACTTTGATGAAATTGAAATAATAGTAATAAAATAAAATAAAATAGTATGATATACTACTCAATTTGAGTGAATAAAATTTGAATTTTGTTCAATTTGAATATTGAAATTCAATCCAATTTGAGTCGAAGATTTTTTATCTATCTTTGCTCAAAAGAACCAATTTGAGTGAAAGGTCAACAAGAGTATAGAGACCATTTACTTTTGGTACAAGGAGGTCACAATTACTTTGTATAGCATATTTCAAATTGGGTCGTTGTAAGAGTATATTTACTAGTTCCCAAGTTCGAAAAAAAAAAAATTGAACTTCGTGACACAACCCAAGCCTTCCAATTTGAAATCTAATGGCCAAAAATAATGTGACATCCTTTTATCAAAGAAAAATTGTCTCATAGTATACAATCCCTTCAAAATTTTAGGAACAAGAGGGATTGTGACGTCCTTGTATGAAAGATAAAGGAAAAAGTTTATATAAGGTTGCAACCTTAAAATATAGAATTAAAATTGCACCTAAAAAATCTATCGAAAAAATTTATTTTAATGTTGAAAACTGTAATTGCTCATCTTGACATCGAGATGTATGAATATAAGAAAAAAAAAAATTTTTTAAATCTTATAAATAGTGTATCTTGTAACAGATTATCTAGACTATCCATGTTCAAGATTTTTATATTTTTATAGACCTACTTGATTTTAACCACTTTTGAAATTTAAAATTTTATAATTAGATATGAAAATATATTTTCAGATAATAGTAGGAACTTTTTACAATAAAATTACATGTTATGATAAAAATTGGAGGTGCGCCTTAATTGGATTGCTTAAAGTTGCAACCTTATAGAAACCACACTAAAAGATAAATATACATTTCCTTTTTAAAACCAACATAATAACATATTTAAGGCTTTTTGTTTTTATTTTTTCACCAATGTTTAAGGCCAAATATAGAATAACCGACTCAGCACAGATATGTCATTAATGAATGCACGAAATGGGTTGCAAACTCCTCATCCTTCTCTTCCCCACCCATCTAGCTTCGTAGAAGTACTTGCCAATCATCTTAACCATCTTCTGTTATACAACATTTTTTTTATCAAGGATTGTATACTATGAGGCTATTTGTCTTTGTTTCAAGGTGGTCACAATTGGTATTAGCCATTAGATATCAAATTGGATAGCTTGGGGTGTGTTATGGAGTTCGAGAATTTTGTTTTTTGAACTTTAAGTTTAGTCGTACTCACAAATATCCAATTTGAAGTTTGTTAGACAAAAACGATTATGAACTCCTTGTTTTAAAAATAAATGGCTCCTTTTTCTTTTCTTTTTTTTTGAATAATGGTGATTTCATTGAGTAAATGAAGGATTACAAAAAAAGGTACACAACATAAGTGAAAAGCAGAGGAGAGAGAGTGGGATACAGAAAGAGAAGATGGGAGAGAACGGTAAAAAGAAAAGAAGAA